ATCTGAGTTGCTTCCAGTACTGACCCTTAAATATAACAACAAATACAAGGTTGCCAAATATCTTACCATACACAGGTTTTGAACATCAGAATAACCCAGTGGAATTCCTCCAGTTTGAAACACCTATTGCAATTAACTGTGCTAAAATATTTAGGCATGTGCAATCCTGCTGCACTCACCACTGAGCTGGATGAGTTTCCATCTGATCCCAGCAGTGATTGCTTAAGCCATCACTAGCTTTCCTTTCAAGTTGCTTAACATTTTAAGACATTTAATTTAAAATTCAGGAAATCCCAAGACTGTAGAAGTGTAAAGTGCTTTCTGGTACTCTAAGCCCCTGTTTAACAAAGTCAAGTTCAGAAGTGTTTATTTGTATGTGCAGTTCTTGCTTGAATTGAGTAAGGCTTCAGTGCAGGTTTTAAACTTAAATGCTGTCCTGAAGAGCTCCAGTTTAGAGAAGCACTTGTGCAGATGGTTAAGTACTTCATTTTAACCACATGTTCGTCCTCATGGCCTCACTGGAACTGCTTCTGAGATGAAAGCTAATTGCTGGGGACAGTGTGTGTGTGTGTATGTGCATATATGTTTCCAAAATTTGGACTCCACTGAAATCGATGAAGCTTGTAATATAGACTTCAAAGGGGCCTGAATTTTACCCCAGGCATTTTGCTGCTTTAGATATCTCTGTCTTCCTGTCAGATATGTTAATAGTATATTTTTTTAGCTGTTATTGTTTTCTCTTATAGTAAACTTCATACAATCTAGGGAATTAATTCACTTAACCACGTCTCTTTCATTATTCTTGTATCACTCATCTCTGTGTACTTCTTCAACTTCAAACCACACTGGAAGGAATTAGTTTTGAGATTCATATAGTACTTTATCTCTCAGTGGAGCCTGGGATGGTATGTTCAGTTCCTTCTAGCTTTTATTAAGTTGTTATACTGATGCATCAAAGCTTAGGGGGAGAGGTTTTTAATTATGAACCTCTCTTTCAACCTTGGATGATCACAAAATTGATTTCTTAGGATTTTTAAAATTTTAATGTAACTGCCAAAAATTTGCAGTACAATTTGTTTGAAACCCTTCAATACTAGCTTTCTGTTCCACATAGTAAAAATGTGGTGAAGTAAAATGATGTATACGTCTATGTTAGTTTCGTATCAACTGCTGCCTTGAGTATTTCTGTGTCCTGGCAGTTTAGGTATTTTGGGTTTCTGAAATCCCTTTGTTTGACCAAGTTTTTGCATGATTCCATTTCTCTTTTCATACCTGTTATTGAAGGCAATCTATCTACTCCACTTTTTCTCCTGGCACTGTTTCCTCTCATCATTCACAGCAGCAGTTTGTAACTCCAATAGTATTCTTTCAGAGCAACACAGGAACATTTCATTGACTGAAGGTCAAAACTGACTCAGAGAACAGATGGAGTGTGGAAAGATGAACCTTTGCCACACACTGAGCATTATCACCTGCTTATTTGTTACATCTGTCCACTGCAGCTTAGAGGCTCCTGAAGATTTTACTCAAGTGATTTAGAACTTGCTATCGGACTGAGTGCAAATGCTTCTCATGAAACAGGTGTTGTTTTTACCTTTTTACTCAGGCTGCACATTCTATGGGCTTAGGATGGCAATTAACTCCCCATGCCTAAACTCTAAAAGAGGGTCTATGATTTCTCTGGGATGCTACTGCAATAAAATTTAAAAAGAGCAACATTGGGATGGCGCTGAATGAAAAGAGAGAATGTTTTAAAAGCACAGATAGATTTACAAGTTCAGTGAATTTCATGCAACAGTGTGTTTACTCACCCTGGAGCCCAGCTGCTCAAAGCATAGCTTTCTTTGAGGGTTCCAGAATAGTTTGTCCCCATCCTACCAACTCCAAGTGAAGACATTTCATCCATATAATCAGAGGGGAGACTAATGACCCTTTCTGTCCTGCCCTCTGTGGTCAGACACCTGTATTTTGTCTTTCTGCAGTAGCTTTCTGAAAGATGCTTACTGGGGAGTGATGTGACACTAAATCAGGGGTTATCCCTGTGCTTTTCAAGACCCATCCCTGGATTTTGGTACTTGTATTTGGAGTAGCTGCCAACTGTATTTCAGCGAGAAATTAGGCAGTTACTCATTAAACTGCTCTAGATCAGGATGCAGAAAAATGGTATTATGTAGCATGATGAAAAGCAGGGAATGAATAGGTGGTTTGCTTGCATCAGCTGAATCTTAGCCAAACATGCAATATATTTATCCCAGTTACCATATGTTTAAAATTAGAAATGTGCTGTTTAACTTCATGGAACATAGTTTTTTGGCCTGATCCAAGGTCTACTGACATGGGGAGTCCTGTTAACTTTCTTTAGGGTTCATGCCCTCAAGGACAAAACTGAAGAAGAGTAATTCAGAGAAATATTATGTTGTGTATAAAATTGCCAAATACCATGTAATAAAGTTCTAAACAATAAAAATGGAAAATGATGTGTTCATACCTTTTTTTCCTCTTTCTCAAGTTAAGAATGTGCTGAGTACCCTTGTTGAAATCCAGAAGAGTTTACATGTCAGAGGAGAACTTGCCTGTTGTTCAGAAAACTAATCTTGATTCCACATGTATCCTAAATGATTTCAAGCAACTGGCTCAGGCCATAAAAATGTGGCAAGATCTGATCATAATGAGACATTTCTAACCTTATTTTGGGTTATGTGAAATGATGACTCTCCTAGAACATTAACCAGCATTCCTTTCTGGTTTTCTGCAGGCTGAGAAACAGCAATCCTAAAAACATGCATCGAAGGCACACCACCCTTCGGGAGAAGGGCCGGAGACAGGCCATCCGGGGCCCAGCCTACATGTTCAATGAGAAAGGCACCAGCCTGACTGCAGAAGAGGAACGTTTTCTCGATTCTGCAGAATATGGCAATATTCCTGTCGTGCGAAAAATGCTGGAGGAATCCAAAACCCTGAACTTCAACTGCGTTGATTACATGGGACAAAACGCCCTTCAATTAGCTGTAGGGAATGAGCACCTGGAAGTGACAGAGCTCCTCCTCAAAAAGGAGAATCTGGCTCGTGTTGGAGATGCCCTTTTGTTAGCCATCAGTAAAGGATACGTGCGCATCGTGGAAGCAATATTGAACCATCCAGCCTTTGCACAGGGACAGCGTCTCACGCTCAGCCCTCTGGAGCAGGAACTGAGAGATGATGATTTTTATGCTTACGATGAAGACGGAACTCGGTTCTCCCACGACATTACCCCTATCATACTTGCTGCCCACTGCCAGGAGTATGAAATCGTTCACATCTTGCTTCTAAAAGGTGCACGGATTGAAAGGCCACATGACTATTTTTGCAAGTGCAATGAATGTATTGAGAAGCAGAGGAAAGACTCCTTTAGTCACTCTCGTTCCAGAATGAATGCCTACAAAGGATTAGCCAGTGCTGCTTATTTGTCTCTTTCCAGTGAAGACCCTGTCCTTACTGCTCTAGAGCTAAGCAATGAATTGGCCAGACTAGCCAACATTGAAACTGAATTTAAGGTAATTTGCCACTGTGCCTTTTTCCTTGAGCTGAAAATGTTCAGGCTATTTTGTGGTTTACATATATGATCAAATTTTGGTTTGCTGTTTGAGGGGGTGGGGCAGTAAGAGAGACTGGCAGAGCCTGCCAGATGTGTTAGCTATGCATAGATTCAGATCACTGTCATTCTCCAGTTAATAAATGCTTGGAAGTGAATATTGCATATTATAGCAAAACTTGGAGTTTCTATGTTGCACACTGTGATTGCTTAGAATCTCTAGTTTGCAGCAGGGATAAAAATTAGATTATTCAAAAAATGCAGACTTATTTTTTTGTAAGAAAGGTAAGTCTTTATAACTGAGTAAACTATTTTAGAGGCAGAGCACTAAAGGCTGGTTTAATGGCTTAAGAATCTGGTTCTGTTACAATGATGAAAGGAATAAATCGAACAATTTCAGTTCTCTGTAAAATAATTTAGATTGTATTGCATCCTAATTGTTTCATACTACATCTATAGATGATGAATTTTATGGAAAAAAAAAAAGAAAAGGAAAGGAAAGAGAAATGACCAAGAAATTTTTATGAATTTTATCTTCATGTCAAGCATGAGCAGAACCTGTGGAACTCTCTCTTACAAGTTATTCAAGATTTTCATTACCATAATGAGTTTGTTAATGTCCAATGTCATTTGCATTATTTCTCTAAGTCGTTTACATGACATAAATAGCATTGTCTCCCTTTCTAAAATAAATCAGTCATTAAAAACCTCATTCTCAGTGGCTCAGTCATCAGCATAAGACTGCTTTCTGACATGACTGTTGTGCAGCCACAATCATGATCAGTGACTCTGGGGTAATAAGATCTATATTGTGAGTAAACAGGGGCACCATGCTTGCCAGGAATCCATTATTTTTAATTTAGAAAATTATCCATATGTTAAAGCATCCAACTCAGTATTCGTAGCTATATGCTACAAAGGACTAGGGAAGAGATAATTGCCCTGTACTGGGCACAGGTGAGACATCTCAAATCCTGTGTCTTACTCCCTTGTAGCAAGGGCGACAAGTACAGGTGAGACATCTCAAATCCTGTGTCCTACTCCCTTGTAGCAAGGGCTACAAGTCATTGAGGTGCTGGAGCATGTCCAGAGAAGGGTAACAGAGCTGAAGAAAGGGCTGGAGCACAAGTCTGATGAGGAGCAGCTGAGGGAGCTGGAGGGTGTTGTCTGGAGAAAAAAAGGCTCAGGGGGACCTTATTGCTCTCTACACCTACTTGAAAAGAGCCTGTAGCCAGGTGGGGGTTGTTTCTTCTCCCAGGTAACAAGTAACAGGACAAGGGGAAACAGCCATGAGTTACACCAGGAGAGGTTTAGACTGGATATTAGGAAAACATTTCTTCACTGAAAGGGCTGACAAGCCCTGAAATAGGCTGCCCAGGGAAGTGGCTGAATCATCTTCCCTGGAGGGATTTAAAAGACTGGAGATGGAGCACTCAGGGACATGGTTTACTGATGGCCTTGGCAGTGCTGGGTTAATGGTTGAACTCGATCTCAGAAGCCTTTTCCAACCTAAATGATTCCATGACTCTATGCTCTCTAATTTAAAAGTGAGAAGAAAACACATTCCCAGGCTTTGCAACTCTTTAGTAACTCTCAAACAGGAAAAAAAATCCCAAACCACTGGGCTCTTTTGGCAATAAAATTAGGGCAAAATTTTATTCTTTTTACCCACGTGTATCAGAATTGCAAGGACACAATAATAGAAAGTGGAGGTTTTATTTGCAGTCAGTCCTAGTGAAACAACCTCTTTGGGTTCAGTCAGTCTGACTGTTTCAGTGAGTGTTGCTCCAGTGTGAAAATGCTGTAGGCTTACACCCACAGTTAACAGCATTAATACCTCATTAATGGTCTAGCTTCTTTTCCATAGAAAACTATATATTGTGTGGAGCATGAGCAGCTTCAGTATCACATGCCTGTCAGTTCTGCTAAGTGTCTTGCTGCAGAAAAGTAAACTTATTTCTACCAGAATCCTTCCTTTTCTTCATGGAGCTGCCAATGGGGTCTAGACTGCCACTGACAGGTACACAAATTCTCCAGGACAAAACCAGCAATCAAATGTTAAATTGTCTCACGGTGCTTATACGTCCCCATCACTGGCAAATGGGTGGGAATAAATCAATACCAGAAAGAAAACAACAACCCACATTAGAAACACTTTGCCAAATTACTGCACTTCCAGGAAGACTTTCCAATTTCATTGCCTTATTGGAAGGTTCTGTGCAATACACATTGGTACATTAATTGCCTTATTGGAAGGTTCTGTGCAATATACATTGGCACATTATAATGAAGTACCTCAGAAATACTCATACCACTAATTTACTTCAAAGATGCCACAGTCCTTTAGTAATTAATGCTTCCAAAAATAAAAGTTTCTCAAGATTATAATGCATTCTCACTGTAGCAAAAAAAAAATAAAAAACAACCACCCAACCCAGAGGTATGTATTGATGTAAAAATATTTAGTCTTATTAACATAATCAGTGTGATGGGAAATAGGGTGTTGATAAAATAATAGGGTTTTTTCAAAGGGCATGAAATTTGGAGAGTTTATTTTGAGAAAAGCACACAATTGCTTAAAATGTATTTAAGAAGCCCACACATGATGAAAAATTATGAAATCAGACAAGCTCTAGAGGGCTTTATTTGTGTCTAAAATAGTACTTTCTTAGATTTATTTTTTTTAATTGCAGAAGTTCTGTAATTACAATTGACACTCAGCAGATTCATAAAATTATCACTTGGGATTATTAAAGTAACAGTTATTTGTATGCAATTGTAGGCAACAGAGTTTTCAGGAGGTACAAAGTGTCCTTGAAATAGAAGGACACAAGTAAGATTTTAATAATGTAGGAGGACAAATAGTAATTTAGTAACCTCTGAAGAAACTCCTAGCATGAGCTAATTAAAATATAAATACAGTAGCTCTCGCCTGCTGCTTCCTGCCCTAAATCTCTTACGTGGTAGAACCTTTCAGCACATCAAAATGAGAAGTCAATACATGTGCTATGTTTTTAGAGAACATGAACTTTTTTAAGCAAGTTGCCACTTTATGCATATATGAAAGGTGAAACAAAACATCCACATGAAGCATTTTAATGGAGAAAAGCTGCATTAGCTGTGGTTGGCCATAGTTTGAAAGAGACTCCAGTGAAGATTGCTAGGTAAAAATCAATTTATCCATTCTTTTTTTGCAGCAGCAGCAAAAGATGAACAGATTGTTCTCACCCTAAATTCCTAAAATCGGTAATATGCTACAGATTGGATAAAAGAAATAACTTTGCAAAATGTTGCAAAAAAAATTTACTTATTCACTAGAGAAAAAATAATTGCTTTTAAATATGTAGGCCATGAGTCTATAAATAAATAAATCCCCTTCCCCAAAATAAGAGGAAAAATATGGGACTGGTTGTTTCTATAGAAAATGTCAGCAATGTGATTGCAAGTCATGTAGAAATGGGGTGGGTAGGAAAACTCTCAGAGATGGATTTCTGACATTTCAGAAAAGAGAGAAGCAAACATCAGTCCCTGTGTTTGTCTGCAGGTCTTTAGGCAACAATATTCTTCTGTAGTGGAGGCAACCCAAGTTGAAAAAAAAACAAGCCATTTTTGTATAACCCACTTGAAATCTCAAAATTAAGAACCAGTTCATGACTTTCCAGTTTTCATTTTGTGTTTAAAAAACCCAACAAACCAATATAGGCTGGAGAGAGTGCAGTGCAGATTTGAGGTCTGATTTACTCTTTGTGTTTAAAAAACCCAACAAACCAACATAGGCTGGAGAGAATGCAGTGCAGAGTTGAGGTCTGATTTACTACACTGGATTGGGCTCTTCTTCTGCGTTGCCCTCAGAAAGAGAGAGAGGGAAGGTTTCCTTCCTGTATGGATTGGAGGGTTCCTAGTAACCATGCTTCTGCAGGCTGTAGGAAAAACTGAGTGGGAAACTGAGGGATGCATTTCAATTAAAAATCTGAAGTACAATTAAAACAGAAAAATAGGGCAGACTTCATGTCCTTGGTAGTTTTTCATGAAGGGTGGAAAACAGACATTTGGCTAATGATTAAAATATGAAGTTGTTTGGAGGGAGAAAACATTTAATGCCAGCCTAGAAGAGCTAGGATCCTTCTAGTCCATACAGAAGGAATTGTCTTTCTCTCTCTTTTACCCAAATTGAAAAAAAATAAATCTGTATACACTCCAGTTTCTTTCAAAGCTGCCAGACCCTTGGCCTGAGTCATAAAGCAGCTAATCCTTCTGCCATCTACCAGTGGATTCTGTTTGGTTTGCTCTTGTGAATAAGCTTGATGTCACTTCCAGTATGAATAACATAGCTAGGATTTTTCCATATGAACAAGTCATCACCCATAAGCCAGACTGTTGAGAATTGCTCTCCTCCTTGGTCCAGAGAAATCAATCTTCCCCACATCAGCTTGGTGTGAAACCTTATGCAGATGTCTTCACAGCCACCAGCTGCTCACAGCCAGGTAACTCATTTCTAAGGCTGTAATATTAAAAGCAGAGTCAACAGAATCATTTTTATATGTCCATCAAAACCCTTAGGAGATTGACTTTCTAGCAAACAGCCTGCAGGAAATGTCCTTGCAACTGTCTTTAACAGAAGTATTGAGCTTAGTATTACTGTCCACATCCTGGAAACAGTGAGTGAAACACAAAATAATAGCTCTGCCTACTTTTTTTTAAAGCTGTGACTGTGTACTCCTGTTTCTGGTGAGATCCCTCTCCACACCCAGGTCTGTTTTACAGCTTTGCATGCTTTCAAATTAGGCTACATGTTTGTGTATGTCAGGAAACATCCTTGTGCTGAAGACAAACAGCCAATTCATTCCATTTAGCATTCCAGACAAATCGAATTATAGACTCACAAATGAGGCTTAGAACAGATCTCACCAACCCTAAGTGGTAAATAAGATCTCAACTCCTGGTGATTAAAATGTTACTGAA